CGGATATTGGGGATCGTGAATCGGGCTGGAACGCTGTCGTAGGGTATGCTGGTCATGACACCAGCCATGGGACTGAGGCCGTCGTCTGAATACGCGCGGTCACCGGAGACAATGGAGGAGTCGCGGTTGTGGCGAGACGACCGCGAGCCTAGGGTGCTGGGAGCGATGCTGGCGTGTCGTAGTTGTCGCCCGAAGCGAGATGGCGACCTTCATCGCTTGTGAATCGTTTGTCTTTGTCCTTGTCCTTGTTCCTGTTTCTGGAGAAGAAGGACTTTCCGCCAGAAGACTGCCTCGACTTGTCGCTGGCCGACATGGTGGGCGGGCGGGCGAGAGGTGAAACACCTGGCCCTCTGTCGTGTGTCTACCTTGAGGTTGTACCCCTGGTAGGAGGATTCGATATTCTGGGTGCGGTTGAATGGGTACGTTCAAGCCTGGGCGGGCCGACTGGAAGGAGCGAGAAGGCAGGCCGAGGCCGGTCGCATGATGGGGGTCGGCCGAGCCGGTAGACGAGGAGAGTCGACGAGGAGGGAAGCGGCTTTGCGCGGGGGGAGGAGCAGGTACGAAGCGTGGGTTGGAATCCTAATCGCATAACAAGTCGTGTTTTAGCATGTGCTCTTCTTCAAGCCTGGTTCGACGGAGAGGTTTGAGGTCGGAGATGGGACGTCCCGAAGGGGGGTTATCCTTGACTGCAACATACACTTCAAGTTCTCCCAGTGGTTGACAAGGTCAGGTCAGGTTGGGTGTGTGTGTGTGTGTGTGTGGAAATGCGTGGTCGACTGGGCCGTGGTCTACGTCTCGGACTGGGTGAGTGCGAATCAGGTCAGGGATCGACAGGCGAGGGGAACAGTCAGCGGTGGGTTTTGGGTGGGCGAATCGATTGCGCGGTCGCGGGTCGTCGAGATTCGTTTGAGGCTCCGGAAGAGCGGCGCTGGGAACGGTAAGGTTCTCGATGTTTCGTTGCAAAGGACGAATGTTTCTCGCGCCGGGTAGACCACCGGTGGGCGTTGGCTCGAATCCAGGCCCAGATGCGGCACCTGGTCAGACGGCAGTTGTTGGCTGACAGCGCACACACACGAGGTCTGAAGACGCCTGTCGGTGGAACGAAAGAGTGACTCGAGACTAGGCGGAGAAATCCATGTGTTGCTGAACGACGAAGAGGCGGTCGCTGGGACCCTGGCGGCATGAAACGAAGCCGAGCCGGTTTGACACGTTCAGGGGGGGGAAGAATTGGGGATCCCATCTCGACAGTCAGGCATCGACTTTGGGCGGACTGGGGTCGTAGTCCCCCGTAGATGGGTTTTACGTTTTGCCGCGCCCCATCCTCACTACCTCTGCTTACCTGGCCTGGCCTATACTAGGGAGGGTGCGCAAGGAGGTAAGCCCAGGGTAGACGCGGCCTGGAGCGTCGCTGCTCTTAGTTCGCTTGCGGCGAGAATGGAAGGCCCTGAGCCTCCTG